ACTGGATATAGAATTAAGCTATACCTCCTGGAGGGAGGCAGTATCTATATATATTATTTAGAATTTTTCTGTAAGGAACATTTGTCCTCTCCTAGGTATTTATTTATTCAATTATTTATTTATAGGTGTATGTGTGTATATATTTATTTTATATTTTAGGTTATAATATGCTACTGCCTTACTTTCCTTGTTGCTCAAACTATTCATCTTTGGCCATTGGGAGTTCTTAGAGTTTGGCTCCTGTGTCCTTTAGAGAGCTATATTTTATAATTTAAATTTCTCATTAATTGACTGACTTTTCGGACAGGTTTAATGGAGAGTGTATGTGTTTATATGTGAGGGGTAAAGTAATGTAGGGTTAAAATACCCATTGGATACAACCAAGTTAAATGAAATCATGAATTTTGATAATGTAGAGATCAGAAGTGAGGAATTGTAAAAAAGAAAATAGGGATTTTTAAAGATAAATAGAATTGACTTTGTGATAAGTAAAATTAATGATCATCTATGAGTTATATTTTAGTACTCAGATTATTTTTATCAGACACATAGAACAATAATTTCTTTTCCTCTTCTGCAATATTGTATCAATGGAAAAATGTAGTATGTAGTCTTTTGTATTTGGATTTTTTCACTTTTAAGCTTTATCCATATCATTGTAGATTAGTATTTTGTTCTTTTTTTGTTGCTGAGTGTGGGCAATATGGATAGCCCATACTTTGTGCATGTTTGAGTTGCTTCTGGTTTTTGGCTATTACGAAAAGCACTGCTATGGATATTTGCATATAAGTCTTTGAATGAATATATGTTGCCATTTCTGCTTGGTAAAAATCTCAGAGTGGAACTACGGGGTCATATGGCAAAACTATGTTTAACATTTTGAGAAACTACCACATTGTTTGTCAAAATAGCTGTACCATTGTACATTCTTACCAGGAACATATGAGTTAAAGTTGTTCCACATTCCTGATGACCCTTGATAATGTCAGTCTCTTTAACTTTAGCCATTCTGGCATTGTGTGTTCAGTGGTTTCCATTGTTGCTTGAATTTGCGTTTTTCTATTGCTTCTTGTTCACTCGTGTGTCTTCTTTATAAAGAGTTATTTGAAATATCTTACCATTTTTTAACATGAT